CTTAATTAAAGCAGTACACAAAAGTACATGACTACGTTTACCATTAGCATGAGCTCCAAAATATTGATTTTCATAGTTGTTTGCACAAACAGTTGGAGAAACCTCACTCAAGTTGTTTTCTGGTTTAATTTGCGATTTCGGAACAAACACTTGTGCTTCCGGTGAAGGGAATCTAGATGCATTTTTTGGTTGAAAATTATTTTCTAAATGCAAAATGCTATGATGATGCTTAAAACAATACTTGCAGGTATTTGCACTCTTACACATTTTAACATTATGGACATTAGACAAGCAAGTAAAACAAAGTTTATTAGTCTTAACAAACTCTGTTCGTTTTTGCACTGGTAAATTAAAAAAATTAGAACACCTGCATAAAAAATGATCTTCTTTACAAAATAAGCAAGTAGAATTAGTAATCAGAGAAGTAACCCTATTATACACTGGTTTATCTGATTTATGCATTTTACTAATTAAAGGTTTACTGTTCTGTAATGTTCTAGCGTAATTCTTCAAAAATTCTATCAAGCCATTCAACTTTGTTATTTCGTCTTTTTTTAATTGACGCTCCCACCACAACTTTGTCAAAACGTCAAGTTTTTGCAAAATAATATACAACAACAAAGTATCACTAAAATTATGAATCCTTTGATCTAATATTTCCAATGAGCGAGTTATTTCGTTTACGTTATCTACTAAACTTAATATCGAGGATGCAGATTCCGTTTGTATTTGTGAAACGTTAAGAATTCTTTTAATAAAAGCAAATATCTGTTCTCTCTGATTAGAAAATCTCTCTTCTAGTAAATTCCAAGCAATACTGAAATTTTGATCAGCTATGGGAATTGACTGAATAAAGCGATAAGCATAATTTTTCAAAGATGTCTTTAAAATATTGTAATTTTTGAGCTCCAGAAAGATTTGGATTATTGCGAACACTAACGTTAAATATATCTTTAAATGTTATCCATTCAGTTAAATTTCCGCTAAATGTGGGTAAAGATAATTTCGGTAACTTTAAACTATCAGAGATTGATTCAGGTACGACAGGTTTATCGCCATTTGCATTTACAACCTTGTAAATCTTTAACTTAACGAATAATTTTTAAGTGAACCTCCTCAATTTTCTCTAAAATCGACTGTTCTTCCTCAACGAAAGTGTCTATTTTATCATCATCACAATTTGTATAAATTTCTTTAAATAGAGATTTAAAGTCTTCCTTAAAGATTTTACATTTTTCTAAGATTTATTCAGCTTCAGCATTATCTAAGTTATCATAATCTATTCTCTCGATGAATTTCGTTAACTGTGTTTTCAAAATTCTCTTTCGCTTTTTTTCTATATCTGACATTTTGAAAATATTCTAAATTCTTGATTTTACTAATACTTTAATCACAAAAATAGTAGCAATAACGAAATCTCAAATGTAATTAAAATGCGTTAACTATTTCACTCACCTCGTACACTGTATCCATTGCGAAACTCTTGAGAATTCTAAACCGAAAGTAACACCATTACGAACACGTAGAATTCTTATTCACAAGCGCGGGTTTTTCTCGAAGCTCTGGCGTAGGACGGAACAGAATATTGTAGCGAAGCGGTATCTTAACTTTAAATTAATAAACCTAAGAATACATCAATGCGAGTGGACTGTAAATTAACCTTTATTCGGTAGTTTGAACTTTCGAACACAACACAGCACAAAGTAAAACGACAGAGTTACATTAGCGTTTACAAGAATGCAAGAACAAAATGCGAGCTGCGCATACAATCTGCGCATTGCGAAATAATATCTCACAGACAGGCAGAGAGCTCTGGTGGCCGAAACATCAGCATTATATTTTCAAATTTACTGTGAAAATTTGAAAATATAACGTTGATTTTTGTTGTTTGACTTCTGAATTGATATTTGTTCAGCATGTTATTGTATCTTAATGTTGGAATCTGTTTAATAAAATCATTCAATTACCAATAGGTTTTATGGTAATATTTAAAAAAATTATTTAGCATTTTAATATTCAATACTATCTTGTACAAGACTGACAAAATACTAGTTCGAGCTTAAAAATTAATGAGACAAAAAAGTGATGATATTGTTAGAATAAACTTAAAGAGGTTTACAAATACACATAATCATCTGCCTTGTGGATGTTAGAGCCTTTTAGAGAGCCCCCCTTGTTTTTTTAGTAACAGCACTGAATATCTGCTGCAAAGGTTCATTAACTGAAGTTTGCTTTTTTAGTCAGTTGGATCACTAACTGATCAATCACTACTGCCAGCATCATGGCCTCTATTATATTTTCATTTGATGAGAAGAAAGAAACAGTAGAAAATACTTCTGAAAAATATCTTATTATTCTAAATATACTTAAAAAAGTCGTATACATGCTGTTTTTTTACTTATGGATTTCTAGATTTTCATATCTAGTTTATAAATTATGAGTGTTAAGAAACAGTAGACACCACTTGGTATGATCCCATTAATGTTATTCACATATTGTTATCACATTACTAAAGTGCCACCCATTTGTGTACAAAATGTGGAAAATATATCATTTATTGTAATCAACAGTTCAATTAATATGATCAGTATACTGTAGAATAAAAATCTCTGAAATAAAGTTTTCAAATAAAAGAGTCACCAAATTACGTTAAAAATAGATTATAAAATTTGCCAAGTGACAGAGAAATATAACCAAGTAAGGTGTTAAATCAACAAACAGTTTATTTTCAGTTTTAATTAACAATTTAAAATCGAGCCCCCCTCTCCAAAAAAAGAACTAAAAACTTAGTTTGATGTAGGTTTTCAATAACTATCAACTTAGAGTGATCAGACCACATCACTCAAAATAAGTAAAAATAATTTTGCAATCAGACGTAGGTCAGAAATACAAATAATTCTAAATTTTTTTTTTCAAATAAATTTGAAAAAAAAATTCCTAAAAAAATCCATTATGCCAGAATAAAGTTGCTTTTTTGCCTAATTTAAAAATTTACATTATCCTGTTGCAGAGATGATATTGCTAGAATGCTCTCCAAGTATTTTGGAAGTATTAAGATTAAGGGTTTGGCATTCAGTAAAATAATTTCCACAAATACACTCCTGGCCACCCAAATTGCAACACTAAGAAAGACAAGAGATATCAAAACAAAATTTATTTAGTAGATAACATGTTGACCAAGTATCAAATGATTAAATTTATAGACTTATGTGAAGTAGCCAGAGTAGCCGCCATTGTTGAGGATCACCGCTGCCACATGCCTCGGCATTGATTTAAAGAGACTTTTGTTTTGGTATCTCTAAATATCTGCTGCAAAGCTTCATTAACTTTCTTGGGGTACAGCAGACCAAGCAGCTTCCACACGTTGCCAAAGTTGATCTGGTGTGGCAGCTTGGAATGTAATCTGGATCAATCGTTCAGCAACCATGGACCACATGTTTTCTGTCGGCGAAAGATCCGGAAAGCGAGCCGGCCAGAGAAGCAGTTCAATCTGGCGATTGATGAAGAAGCCTTGGGCAATGCGTGCCACATGTGGTCGCGCATTTTCCTGTTGAAATATGGCTATGGGCAAGCCCTGAAGGTAAGGAAGGACAACTGGCTCCAACACCTCGGAGATGTAGCACTGGCTGTCTAAAGTACCGGCAATGAGTACTAGAGGAGTGCGAGAGTGATATTCAATACCGTCCCATACCATAATATCCAGTGCAGGACCAGTGTGGCGGTGCATAATGCAGCTGTTCAGCATCCTCTCTCCATGGTGTCTCCAGACTCGAATCCGACCATCGTGGTGTTACAGACAGAAGCGTGACTCGTCAGTAAAGACAATTTAATTCTATTCTGCCGTCCACATCCTTCTTTCATCGCACCATTGGCGGCGGAAACGTCTGTGGCTCTGCGTCAAGGGACGAAGTAATGGACATCTTGCGGACAGACCACTCTGCTACACGGCGCCGAATGGTACACGCTGACACTGGATGATGCGTTACAGACTGAATGTGCTGTGCTATGGTTCGTGATGTGACTGAGCGATCCGTCACTGCCATGCGCACAATGTTCCTGTCATCACGTGAAGTGGTGCACTGAGGTGGATGCGCTCGAACACGTCGGTCTGTCATACCCTCCTGCATCCAACGGTCACATATCCGCATTAAAGTTGTTTTGTTTTGTCCAACACGACTACCAATTTCCCTGGAAGATAATTCGCACTCTCGGTAGGCCACTATCCTTCCTCTGTCGAACTCGGATACTTGATCAAACGATGATCGCTGTTTACTACGAGGCATAATTGATAATTTTTTTGAAAAACCACAAGAAAAACACAATTGCCGAACTTGAAATCGTTGAAAACTCCAAGCCTTAAATAGCTCTTTGAAATGGCGCCACAGGAGCGTGTGACGTGCGTCTGCGCTGAAATTCTAATCATTTGCATATCTCACCTCCGCTAATGCATGTTGTAAATTTCATGTTATTTGCATGCTTTCTTCAGGTTGTTGCATTTACGGTCTCCAGCAATATGTTATGAACAGTTTATAAACTTTTTGCTGTGAAAGTACATATTTGCATATTTCTAGTTACATTTATTTTAAATTAGTTAAATTAATTCTATTGTTATTTTGAAGGATATCATTTAGATAATCTTATCAAAACAGTCAAGGGAAAACATGATCATATTAAGCGCCACCTACTGAACTCATATTCATTTCCCTACTAATTAATTATTTTTTAATGTTAAGCCATGACCTGAAATTTTAAGTTTTCAATAACACTTTCTTCAATTTTTGTAATTTTTCCAGTTTTTTCAGTTTAGTAAATATAGAGCACGTTTACACATTTTTAGAATGGTTTCAGGGCCGTTTAATTAATATTTAAAATATAAAGAGTATTTTTTTTTTTTTAATGTTCAATATGTTTGCCTTTTTTTCTAAATGATTGCATAGTTATTTCTATGATAGAAGGACTTTTCGTAAAATTTCCACAGACATTGATTTCCATTACTTTCCAGAGACCATCGACTGTGGTTAGTTTGTGCTTAAGAAAAAGTGTTTGTCAAAAGACCAAAGGCATAGGTGAAAGTCAAGGGATTTCACATGAATACATTAAAAAGGTATATATACAATACCTATCTCAGGCTTTATTTTTTCAAGGAATGCAGTGATATTTTTCGAAGTGTTACTTGTTGCTTTTTCTTGATGAAGTTTCATTCTTTAAGGGCCACTGGGATAAAGACATGGAATATTTTCTGTAAACCGCAGATGAAAAATTTTGTCTTGATAGTATGTTGAGTTGATATTAACACTTTTTCCCACTGTTCTTATTTTTAATTTCCTGTTGTAAGAGAATCCCGCGACAATCATAAAACCCTTACTGAAATTTTCTTTGCATTGATGGAATTAGGTTTATTAATTTTTTTCTTTTGATAATAAATAGACCTTTTTTTTGTCAAGTCATTCAGGTAAACTCATGTTTCGTAAAAGATCAGAATGTTTTTTCCATTTATATCCTGCTAAATAGTTTCATGCAGTGTTATATAAATCATTCTTTTCATATACAAATAATAAAATAAAATAAATAAATTTTAAATAATAAAATAATGTATAAATAATAATTTTTTAATAATTAATAATAATTTAAATAATTTTTTTATAAATAATTTTTAATTTTTAATAATGTTCACAAGCTACATGCCTCAGCAAAAGCTTGTGAAAATTATTATTTTTTTTAGTTACAAATATTGGTTTATTATTAAGTGTTCATTTAGAGTCTTCTTTCAATGTAGAAGTAATAATTGATGGTTTTTCCCTTTCCAATTAATGTTTTCTAAACAATGTTGCTTATTTTGCACTTAGAAATATCATACAGTTTTTTTAAAATTATGGAATAGAAACATTTCCATTTAGAAAGCATAAAAATGTCCTCCAATCCACAACTTGTTTACATGTGATATTTTGAAAGAATAATTTTAAAAGTAGAGATGATATTTATCAGTTCAAATATATTCTATTCCAAATTATTAATATTCTATTCCAAAACATTTTTGTCTTTTTCAAATTGTTTTAAAATTGAAATTGTTCTAAAAATGTGTAAACATCCTCTGTAGTTCTCATAATGCTATTTATATTCCATGCATTTTCTGCCATCTAAAAATATATGCTGTCATATGCCTTTGCCATTTCTGACAGAAGTTGACAAAGTAGACATTCAGTGTGTTATATTTTCATCAAATTTCTTGCCATATTTGACTGTAGACAAAGTGCAAAAAAAAAAAAAACTATGCTTTTGCAATGTTGAGTATTTTATTTCTTCATTTTCATAGAATGTACAGCACACAGTGATACAAACCATGATAGATCCTTTAATGCCTCATAATCTCAGGAAATTTTTAATTACATTAACAGACAGTCAAAGCTGTTCTGTGTCGTCAGTCTACATTATTGCCAATATAGTGTCTTCTAACAATAAACGCATTAATTTTTTGCCATATCTTATGGAGTAAAATTTAATATTCTCAGATGAAACTTCTTTTCTGACACATATTCAGCAGAATATTATAGCAATGTAGCAAGTTGTGTAATAGTATAAACTTTTGAAAGTCTTCAAATTGAAAGAAAAGGAAGTTTTTGAAAAAAATATTGGGCTGCACATCATGCATCTTAATTCAGAAAATTTGGTTAATGAATTTTTCTCATTTTTGTTTTCAGGGCCCACCAGCGGCTGAGTGGTAAAATCGCTGAACACTGGTAGTTCGGTACGAGGTTCAAATCTCACGAATGGGCTGGCTTCATGGGCATTTTCGTGGTTTTCCCTATGTGTAATGTGTATACAGGCCAGTTTCCCTTAGAAAGTCCTCCATGAAGGCATCCCTTCCTTTAAGCAGATAGCCCTCGAGGCCTTGTCATAATCACATACACACACATTTTTGTTTTCAAAGATGCATTTATTTAAATATTTAAAATATAAGCTTATAATTTTTATAAAGTGGGTAGAAATTTGTAAATACATAAAAACATTTGTAAAAGTACCCTAGCAATGTACAACTAACTTGTTAGGTCATTAATTATTAATCTGTTAAATTACACAATGCATATGTACAGAAATTTTACAAAATGTGTATGGCTTTAAATTTTGTTGAATTGTGTTATGAACGATGATTTCAGTATATATTCCACTATGCAGTTGAAGCTCTATATAATAGACATCATTTCAGTTATGTGTATTAGCAAATTTTTTACCAAGATGCTGACTGTAGTGCTATTTCTTTATAAAAATGAACTACAAATAGCAAATTTCATACTCTGTTGAACACCATTTTTTTTTTAAACCTTACCATATTTTTCTATAATACTGTCATGTAGGTGAAGTGATCATACAAATGATGAGGCAAGTACTCAAGCCTGAACTCAACACTTTATTGTTAGAACTGAATGAGTAACAACTTATATACACCTGATGAACGAGCTGAAACATTCTAGAAAGTTCTTAAATATATGGAACATAAGGAAACAAATTAATAGGAAGTAAATTTAAACAGAAACCAAGTTTTAGGCAGAATGTATCTTTGTGTCTGCATCTGGAATAAAATGTCCCAATAGAGCTTTCAGGATCCAATAAGATTCCCTTTGCAACATGTTCTAAAAAAATTTTGCAACTTTTTCGACAAGTCATGCAGGGGTTTTTCAATATGCACGAAGTTTTTCATAAATTGTCGGTAGTAGCAATACAAGCCCAGAAAACTTCAGACATCAACGATATTTTCTGGAACAGGGAGCTTTGTTTCAGCGTCTACCTTTTGTAGATCAGCTAGGTGTCCCAGTATAGTTAGCTTCTTTTTACCAAATGAACATTTCTTGAAATTTAGCATCAGTCCTGCTCTTTGGATACATTTCAGAACTTCATGCAAGCGTTTTTGGTGTTCTTTGAAATTAGCTGCATGCACAATTATGTCGTCAAGGTAACAAAGGCAAATATTCCATTTGAGGTCTCTTAGCACCATTTCCATCATCATACATTTGAATGTGGCTGAAGCATTGTGTAATCTAAATGGCATGACTTTAAATTCATACATGGTGTCCTGAAGGCTGTCTTTTCTTTGTCTTTATCATCATCTTTTATTTGCCAGTAACCTGACTTTATATCCATCATAGAGAAAACTTCTGTTCTGCACCAGCAAGGCAGTCCAAAGCATCATTGATCTGAAGTGACGGATAGACATCCTATTTGGTTACCTTTTTTAATTTTCTATAATTGACACAAAAACACCACTCATTTTTTTTTTTTTTTTTTTTTTTTTTTTTTCCCTTCACAAGCACAACTGGAGATGACAGTGGACTGTTTGATGGTTGCATCACATCTTCTTTTAGCATTTATTGTACTTCCTCTGTAATTGCATGTCCCTCAATGGCTGACACAAGATATGGCTTTTACTTGATTGGCGCAGTGTCTTCTATATCGATTTTATGCTTCACCACATTGCATCAGGGTTTCCTCGCAATACTGTTAAAGTCAGATCAGTACCGAAAATTTCTCTTAATGTTACTCGAGTTAATCTTTTTCTGGACTTATGTCCCTCCAAACCTTCTTGAGCCTCACCACTCAGGGACCAAATAGTGTCATATGCAGTGGTCTTTAAGTCTAAGTTCATCCCTTTTGCTTTGATTTGGATTCATTGAGTGCAATTAGTTACCCATAATTTACTGGAAGATAAATTGAAGCTGGTATTGATAGCTTTTTTTCGCACATCAGAAATCCATTCCCAACAATCATAGCTCCATCTGCTGCCAGTACTCATAATTCATGTGCCCTGACGGGCACATATTTGCCTTGTGAAGTTTGCTTCAGTTAAATAATCTGTTGTGGCAAACAATGATCACTCTGATTTATTTAAAAATTCATTCTCTGAAAGGATTTCTGCAAGGTGAAGTTCTTGATTTTCACAATCGATAACTGCATTGATGGCACAGAAAAAGTCCCTTCCAAGTATCATTCAGTGACTACATTGTGGAAACATAAAGAACGACCTCTTAGTCCCATTCAAATCAACTTTTGATACAACGTCCCGATGTGGCTACAAGTTTATTACAGTCAGTTTTCAGTATAGGTCCATTCTCAGTAAACATAGGAACATTTAATTGTTAGCATAATTCTTTGGATATGACGGAATAATTGGCACCTGAATTGACAAGGGCTTTTTACACACTGTCCCTTCATTGTAATAAAGGTGATGTTCTTTTTTAATGTGGCTGGTTCTTTTTTAATGTGGTTCTACTTCCGTGTATCCCTGAACTTTTGGTAAGAGCTTCTGAAGCTTTTCCCTGATGATGGTGTACACCATAGATCTTAAGTCACTGGCATGTGCATCGGCCGACTCCATGGAGACATTAGGTAGCCTCTGAAATTGTGGTCGAATGATACATCATCCTTGAAGGCTCTCTATTAGATGGTAGTGTTTTGCAGAGGCGTCAATGCTGTCATAGTCCTGAGATGGCAGCACCTGGTAGAAGTCCTTGGCAATGCCTCTCATGAGATAGGCAACTTTCTCATCTTCAAGCATGGTGGGGTTTGCTTTTCAGCACAGAGAAAGAACATTTTGAATGTAAGCTTCAGGCATCACATCGATTTGCTGTGCATGTGCGAGTAGTAGTCTTTCAGCATGGCTCGTTACATCAGCTACGCAACAAAATATGTTCTGTCATGTAGACAAAACATGTTCTTGTGTGTTCTCACATGTTCCAAAGACATTTTTCAAAGATCTCATGTATAGACATGAGAACATTTCTGAAAACAGTCCAACTAATAAATGTGTCTTCATTATTATCAAAAAACTGTGAAGCAGTTCTATGAGATAAAAATGACATTCACCAGACACATTTGATCATCCCAATGGTGGCAATTTGATCAAAGTTCTTGAGCCATCTCTTGGTATCTTCTTGGTATCTCCGGTGAATATACATGGTCTTCTGGGTAGTTGGTAAGTCAGCATTGGTATTGGTGCAATGTTACTCAGAGCAAGCTAGCTTCTGCTGGAAGATTCTGCTCAGCTTCCTTCCCATCAATTATCTTTCTCAATCTTCTGCTCAAATCTTGTAAGAGACCAAACTCAGAGGAAAG